CAAAAAAATCATAAAAATGTCATAGTATAGTATGTCACCTCAAAAAAATCATAAAAATGTCATAGTATAGTATGTCACCTCAAAATTCATAAAAATGTCATAGTATAGTATGTCACCTCAAAAAAATCATAAAAATGTCATAGTATAGTATGTCACCAAAAAAATCATAAAAATGTCATAATATAGCATGTCACCAAAAAAATCATAAAAATGTCATAGTATAGCATGTCATCAAAAAAATCATAAAAATGTCATTGTAGGAAGGAAAAGTAAAAACAGAGAATTTACATTAATTTTACAATGCATGGTATTATATATGTTTCTTATGGTTGCTTTATGTGAAATTATCCTCCAACCATCATCTCAAACTGTACTTAAGTACAATACTTCAGTAAATGTTCTTTCCCCCACTGTTTATTAATTTATTGAGTATATAAGACGCGTCTGTGTCCTGAAATAATCGCTCCCTTTCAGCATTTAGGGGTGTGCACATACGTAATATAAATGACGGCCACTGGAGCCAATAGGAGAACAGATATGTCTGCTCAGGATTCTGAACCAATAAGAATCCCCAAATAACGTCACTTCAGTTTAGTAGCCGTCATCTGATCGGCTGTTACTTTACATGGGCGTACGTGCGCGTCTCCTTACCGTCGTCACGTTGAGAGGAGAAGGAGGAAGTAAATCCGAGTGAGCTGGACTGGTGTGTGAGCCCGACTGTCATTTGAACACTGTTACTTCACGGCTACTTTACGCGCTGAACAACATGGCTGAGTAAGTTCTTACAGTAGTTTTTACTTATTTAGATAGTCGGTAAAGTGTAAAGATGGCGGCTGATACGGGTGGTTAAATAATTGTCGACTTTAGAGTCGCGTAACTTGGTGTTGGTAATGTTCTTCATCAGTTAGTGCACTCGGAGCTGTTAGCTTGTTAGCTAACCTGCTTGGTGTTAAGTAGAAACATAAGTAACATGACGTTTAGTGTCGAAATCAAACTGCTTTCTTTAGTAAAAAGAGGTTAAACATAGGGGTGCAAGATACTTTATAAAAAGAGGGATCATTTACATAAAGTCAGAAATGTTTTTGAACATCATGGTGGACAGTTTATTCATTCAAAGCTGATGCTCAGTGTGACACCAGACACCCAGTAAATGTGATTATTTGTCTTCTTCTCACAGAGCAGACATTGCACTGATTGGTTTGGCTGTCATGGGCCAAAACCTCATCATGAACATGAATGACCATGGCTTCGTGGTAAGATGATAACCTCTGTTTAACTCCCAAAACTTCTGGCAGCAACACCTGTTTGAATTGCCCCTATTTTATTTCACTTAATATTCACCAAACCTCCCCGACAGGTCTGTGCCTACAACCGGACTGTGTCCAAGGTGCACGACTTCCTGAAGAACGAGGCGAAGGGCTCCAAGGTGATTGGAGCAGAGTCCCTGGAGGACATGGTGTCCAAGCTGAAGAAGCCCAGGAGGATCATCCTGCTGGTCAAGGCTGGACAGGCTGTGGACGACTTCATTGACAAACTGGTTGGTAATTTGTGCTGAACTGTGTTACAGTCATTTGAGGAAAATTGAGTCCTGCAGATACATCACTTTGCTCTGTGCTGCACTTGTTGTCCTTCAGGTTCCTCTTCTTGAAGCCGGAGATATCATCATTGATGGTGGCAACTCTGAATACAGAGACACAACAGTAAGTCTTAGACAATCACTGTTAAGCAGTACATTTTTATTTCTGTTTGAGGATATTCTCATAGTATGTGTGTGTTTCTGTCGTACAGCGGCGGTGCAAGAGTCTGAAAGAGAAGGGCCTGCTGTTTGTTGGCAGTGGAGTCAGCGGTGGAGAGGAAGGGGCACGTTATGGACCCTCACTCATGCCAGGAGGGCATGAAGAGGCCTGGTGAGTCTCCTCACACTGTCAGCTGCATGTAAGGTGTTGTATGTGGGCACAGACATGCTAAAATAAACATAATCATTACTGATAGTTATGTGAATATCTGATTCATTCATCCATTTCAGTAAGTTAATGAGCTGAAACACTTGCTTTACTTTGAAGGCCACACATAAAAAACATTTTCCAGAGCATCGCTGCCAAGGTCGGAACAGGAGAGCCGTGTTGCGACTGGGTGAGTTATGTTTAGTTTGTGTGTGTTCACTATACTCATTGGTTGAATCATGTCAAGTCGTCTCACAATAATCTGGCGGGCTTGCTTGTGCAGGTCGGAGATGAGGGTGCAGGGCATTTTGTGAAAATGGTCCATAATGGCATAGAGTATGGTGACATGCAGCTGATCTGTGAGGCCTATCACCTGATGAAGGATGTTCTGGGTATGGACCACGATGAGATGGCACAGGTGAGCTATATGATGTTGTAATTCTCCTGTTGTGCCAGTTATCAAATAAAAAAACAACAATGTGGCTGACTCACTGTGGTTTAATTAAACAGGCTTTCGACAGCTGGAACAAGACAGAGTTGGACTCCTTCCTGATTGAGATCACGGCTAACATCCTTAAATACAGGGACTCTGACGGTACACATCTGCTGCCCAAGATCCGCGACAGTGCTGGACAGAAAGGCACAGGGAAGTGGACGGCCATTTCAGCCCTGGAGTACGGCACACCTGTGACTCTGATCGGTAAGAGGAAGAAAGGAGGTTGTAGACGAGGAAGTATCTGGTTTCCTTGTCTCCTCTTCCAGTGCTGGCTGCTTTCAGTAAACTGCATTTGTCATGATGACATGACAAAAGGCATTACGTCACACATGTTCAGATTTCACGCTGCTTAAACAAATTAAAGGGCGGTTAGGCCTGATAATCAGAGCTGTTATGGCTAATGTTTAGCTCTGCCAGTTAGCTTTCAGACAGCGTGGCCAGTGAGCTTCTTCTAGAGAACGTGATTGATATGTGGCTGCCACTAAGAAGATTGAGGGCTTTTCTAGTGGCCTGCTCATCTCAAGTGACATAAGGGGGATTTGTAATACTCCTCCGCAGCTTTGGTGTTTGCTCTGACTGTATGACCGTCTGTTTCTAAAGCAGCCATGGAGGTCAGGGCGCGAGATAAATAATCCAGAACAAAAGGTGTCACCTTATGAAATCATGCCCTATTAAACAGACACATTTTGTTCATAGTTAAGAGACCAGGTAAGTTAGATTTTAGACTTTTGATGGCACTCGGGATGAAATTTGAGACTAATTTTACAATAACTAAAGGACAAAAAACATGAACTGGCATCAGTTACTTAGGGTTAGGGACAATTTTACCCAAATGTTCATTATAACATAAAACATGACTTTTTTGTCTCTTGGCTGATAGGAAGGTAGAACAGAACTGGAAAATGCCAAAACTGCCATTTTTTTGTATCTCACTCTGCATATGCCTTGATTCCCATCATGCCCAGCTTGGAAAACTTTTTGCATGCATTGACTTGTACTTGTATCAGCCATGCTGTGAAACCTTGGTTAAATGGCCAGTTATGGTTGAATTTACACTTCCCGATGTCATCCAAGGTACAGTGACAACTGGATAGCAGACAGTGGATCCTCGATGCTGAGCATCCCAGCCAAAAACAAAAAAGTGTTGCTGATACCACTATCCTGATCTGTTAATGTGAGAGGCATTTCGTAAATTATTTAAAGATAGGTGTCACCAGTTATTCTGCGATTTTACAATGCAATGTGAGGGAAAAAAACATTTCTAAAATTCTACTTCCTATGCCTTAGCAATTTTAAGACTTTTAAAATACATTTTAATACTAATTAAGGCCTTATTTTTAGATCAATGAATTCAGTGGCTTTTAAGACATTAAGGATCAGCAGTAACCCTGTCAGACACACATAATAAACTTGTCTGAAAAGTTCAACCATTCAGACGTTTTGTAGCAGAAACTTGCCCCTCACGAAACCCCTGCAACCACTGCTCAGATTAGATAAATAAAAAAAGATGTTTCCTCAGTCCTTCTCTGCACCGTAGATCCTCTTGTGATGCAGAGATAGAGGCATTACAAAAGGCGTCATTGTGTGAGAGCCGACCCGTCTGTGTGGAGCAGCCTGACAGGCTGGTACTGTATGCGTGGATGGATTTCTGCCCCCAATAGGGAAAGCATTCCTCACCAGGATAGTTCACTCTCTGGACACGTTTTCTCTTATTGTCATATCTGTCTGTCTGTCTGTCTGCCCGTAGGTTGCATCACCTAGCTGTGCTGTTTTTTTTAGCAAGTCATGCCGACCCAACAGTTGTTTCCGCTTATCTCGATACAGTGGCATTACAGTGTAATAGGTATTTTTAATGTGGCAACTGGCAACCTCTTTTTTTCTGATGTGGTAGAGGTGAGCCCTGTTGTTTGAACAGTAGTGTTATTACTGCTGAGTCATGCTGATTGTTGGGCACTGTTATTATGTTAGCATAATGTTCCTGCAGCATGGCTGTGGCTAGAATAACCTATGCTATCGTCTGCTGTGAGAGGTTTCAGAAAATCTTGATAACCGTTTACCAAGCTCTGTTTTTCTGTGATGCTTCAGTAATGACGTGCAGAGAGCTAACCTTATTGTCCCTGTCTGTTCCTGTGTCTCCTCCACTCCCCCTCTGTCTGTGTTTCAGGGGAGGCTGTCTTTGCCAGATGCCTGTCCTCTCTAAAGGATGAAAGAGTGGAGGCCAGCCGCAGCCTTTCAGGGCCACAGGGAAACAGCTTCAGCGGTGACAAGACCGTCTTTCTGGAGGACATCAGAAAGGTAGAAGACAATATAAAATAAACTCCAGTTGGCAGTTAATTAGGAACACCTTGCTGAAACTACTGCAGCCCTGCAATGACTCCTGCTGTCATGAAGACTCCCAGTTTACATTATAAAATGACTACCAGGAACATTTTCAAGCACTCTGTCAAGCAGCAACTTTTATTTATGAATGTAAAATGTACTTTTTTTTTTACCAGTATTAATTTCAAATTGTGTCACTGTGTCAGAATTTATTGATTCATTCTTCTCTCTCCAGGCCCTCTACGCCTCCAAGATCATCTCCTACGCGCAGGGCTTCATGCTGCTGCGGCAAGCAGCCAAAGAATTTGGCTGGTCCCTCAACTATGGCGCGATCGCTCTGATGTGGAGAGGAGGCTGCATCATCCGAAGGTACATTTAACCTCGTGTTTGCCTCACTGCTGCCTTGTGCAACTTTGTGTCCACAGGCATCTTTCACCCTGATGGTGAAAACTGTGGTTAGACAGTGCAAGAGAGAAGTTCTTGAGAAAACAAGAAGAATAAAATGGAGAAGTTTTTTATTGATGTAATTCATTTAGTAGGATTCAAGAAAGTTTAACATTTCTAATTGTTGGAAAATTCTAAATAAAAAGGGAAAAGTCTCTCATAAGTCTTAATGTTGTGCAATAAAGGAAGTTGTTGACTTTTTTTTGACACTGCCCTATGAGTAATGCTGGAGTCAGAAATCTATATGGAAGAAGAAAAGACTCTTCCTGTAAAATCAGGCTGCGAGAAGAATGAGGAAATTGTGACACTGGTTTGCTTTGTGTAATCTAGCAAAGACGTTGTGTAAACCTAAATCAAATATAACACTCCTTATGACTCAACCTGGTTACAGTATTTTCTTTTAAATGCATTTTACAGTTACCTTATGAAATGTCTCTTTACTGTGAGCAAAGTCTTTTTCCCCCTCTCTTTCCACTGTTGGCTAACGCTGCCCTCTCCCCTCCCCCCAGTGTCTTCCTGGGCAAAATCAAAGAGGCGTTTGACAGAAACGCTGAGCTGCAGAACTTGCTGCTGGACAATTTCTTCAGTGATGCTGTGCAGGACTGTCAGGTATGAGGAAGGAGGAAGTGGCTAAAAGCCAAGCTGCAATACCCACATTGCGAAGACACACAAAACAAATTATTTCCTCTTTTAGAAAGACAACAGTGTATGGCACCACTTGCTGGTTTAATCAGCAGCTGTTCGAGATGTAAAAAAAAGTTGCAACCAGCTGCCAGACCATAAGCAGCAGGCACCTAAGGGACACAGTACAGAAAAAAAAAATGTAAATATAGCGAGGAAGAATACCAAATGAGAGTGTATCAGGGGTTGGTTTTTACTTTCACCTTTGCTGGTGAACATGTGCACAAACAGTGACTGACAAGCCTGCATTGTATAGCTTTAAGGAGAATCCAGTAAATGTATTAATCGTCTAAACTGTCTGCTGAGACTGTTTAAGAGTTCTTGGTTGAGGTTTTCTTTTAAGAGAGATGTAACCTACCTGAAACAGTCTGCTGATAGTCAGATCTGAGTCTTTTAGATCTGAAACATTCTCAGTTTTTGGATTCTTCGTTTCTTCTGAAATTCAAGGTAACGCAGGGTGAATGACTGATATCCAAATGGTCATTTGCAAGGTGAAATATTCCTTTTTAACAGAGGCTCTTGCCTTTTGCCAGGCCGCCATTGTAAATAAGAATTTGTTCTTAATGACTTGCCTGGTTAAATAAAGATTAAATAAATAAATAAAAACAAGCAGCAGTGCAAAAAGCAGCATTTTATTTTTCTCTGCATCACACTTTTATCTTCTCTTCAAAAAAGACCTCGCTCATAGCGAGCCTGCGGCAACAGACTGATTGGACTGAATATAATTTAGACCTGGCTCAAATCGGATCTCGATTACTTGGAACTGACTGGCCTCATGAAGACCTTTTGCTCTTGGCTTCACATGAACACTGCTGTATTATCACCAGATTGCATTACCTCCATGTAATCAAACTGTTGTTGACCTATTTAATCTCTCTGTTTAGGAGTCATGGCGCAGAGCAGTCAGCACTGGAGTCCAGCATGGCATCCCGATGCCCTGTTTCACCACAGCTTTGTCCTTCTATGATGGTTACAGACACGGTATGCTGCCGGCCAACCTCCTCCAGGTAAGACAACAGTTGATGCTGCAGAGCCGAGCCCACTGAGCATATGGTCAAGTGTGGAGGCATATCGGATTAAAAAGATCACGTGTAGCTGTTGTATGTGTTTGTCTTGGGATCTGGGGGCTTTAAAACCCTGACTGGTGTTTATAACCACTTTACTCATCTGTGTTTGGACTTCTTTTTTTTTTTTGAGTCTTTTGCACGAGCATATAAATATAAAGCTCAAACAGTTTGTCAATTTTAGTAGTTTACTGCACAAAAATGACAAATATTGCTGGTTTAGATGTGAGATTTGTTTGTTGAGATCATTGTAGAATTAATAATAGAATTAAATACACTTTATAATAACTGTCAATAATAAATGATACATTGATATTAATTAAACTAAATTCCAGGATGGGCAGACAATCATAATAAATGCTTACTAATAATTGCTAATATTAATTTATGTTACTTTAACAACTTATATACCTTTTTTTTTTTTTTTAAAGATATTTTTTGGGCATTTTTAAGCCTTTAATTGATAGGACAGACAAGTGTGAAAGGGGGAGAGAGAGAGGGAGTAACATGTAGCAAAGGGCCACAGGCTGGATTCGAACCCGGGCTGCTGCGGCAACAGCCTTGTACATGGGGCGCCTGCCCCACCACCAAGCCACCGACGCCCCAAACAACTTATATACTTTAACAACAAATTATTTACACAAACAGAATATATACAGTCAGGGTGAAATTGGGTTATTAGTTATTCATCTATCTATGTAATGTTTATTGATGTTTTACAAACACTTTCTTAAAGGTTTCAAATTATGTGGTAATCAGTAAGAAATACTTCATAGTGTATAAAATGTTTATAATTAGTGCAACAAACTGTTAAATTATAGCATTATCAATGATGGTTATTATAAAGTGTTAAATTTCTGTTGGTTGAATGAAACAAGCAGTTTGAAGGTCGACAGATTAAACAGTCGTTGAATAGGTCATTAATGTTTCTGTGCGGATGTTAAACTTGGTGTTTTGTGATGTTTCAGGCCCAGAGAGATTACTTTGGAGCCCACACATATGAGCTGCTGTCAAACCCGGGTCATTTCATCCACACCAACTGGACCGGCCACGGTGGAAACGTCTCCTCTTCGTCCTACAATGCTTAAAGATCATCTTCGCGGGACGAGGGGAAGTTATCTGTGAAAGAACAACAAATGTTACACATTCCATCTCTATAACCATGCCTGAATATCTAAGAGCCAACCGCCCCAACATCAACCTTAATTACACTTTTGTGTAAAAAAAACTATGTGTGTGTTGTAAACTCTGCACCCTGTGTGTTGCAATGTAGCAATTTTTATAACAGTCACAAGAGGGGGAGCAACAAGGTGTTGACTCCATCCGGATACCACAGCTATCAGGCTAATGTTCACCAGTCATGTTGGGCCCAAGGTTCACGGTGTTAACACTGGATTAAGCTGAACCGTTGCACTGTGCTGTATTAGGCTAAATAAAGATGTCAATCCCTTTATAATTAGCTTGTGTGGTCCTTACTCTCTGGGTGCTGTAAACAGGATTGAGATGTGTTTGTGTGTAACGCTAAATTAGGCAACAAGTGACATAAGGTGCCTGATATATAAACAGGATATTCAGTTTAAAAAGGCCTGTCTGGTGACAGACATGTTGAGCCACTGGGCTATTCAGGCTGTATCAGTACATGTCTGAAGTGGCTATATACAGGGAATATTGATATATCATACACCCTTTAAAGGGCAAACTTCCACTGCAGCCGCACAATCCTATAAATTGGTTATTTTAGTAACAGAAAAAATTAAAAATAATATACATACAGTATAATAATAATAATACAATGAATCTATATTTAGACCCAAATTTGGTGACAGACAATCATGGGATACTTGTGCCAGAGTTGTGTCATTCAAGATGACAGTGGCTTATCACAAAATTGTGAGAATGCTTAAAATTGTTTTACACAATTAGGAAAGCCTGTCTTTATAAACAGACCTCCTCTTTGGCCCAGGACAAAACTTAACACTAAATATAATTAAAACTCTTTTTTGTTATATCCATCTAACTGAACAGGGCTGTAAACAGTGGCCTTGGTGGGAATGGGTCACTATTAATGAAGTATATCCTGGACCTTTTCATGTGTTGTCCTTTCAGTAATCATCCAGCAAGTGGTGCTAAGATCCTGACACATGTTTATTTACACACACTGACAGTAAGTAAGTAAGAGTATAAAAGAAAACTGGCTCTAATGCAATGGCAAACTGTTCACAGTTATGGTTATGCAAAGCCAAGATAAAGTAATATAACATGAGGACACATTCATGAATGCAGAGTGCAATATGATATCTGCGCAATTAAAGGGAAACACCACCTAATTTAAGAATTCTTACATGTTATTTCCATGGCCTCGAAAAGTAAGTCAATTAGTGATGTATAGAAAATGAATGGGAGCCTGCTTTTGAGGACCAACAGAATGTTTGTTATCATTTTTAATATTCAAATGAGCTTTATTCTGTTGTAGCGTTCTCAGATCTGAAACAGAAAATGTACCCAGATACTCAGAACATTCCCCTGGGTGCTCTCAGTGTCATCTAGAACATTTTTCACCATTCATCGTCTGTGGAGCAGCTCCAGATTTTATACCTGATATCATCAAACATTTGAGTTTTAGCACTCTAGCTTTTGGATTTGGGAGCAAACTGTCATGTTTACTTATATTTTTGGACCATCTTAGACCATAGCAATAACGTATGAATTTTGAAAATGGGCGTAGTTCATCTTTAACACTACTTTGGTGAATTTAACATGGTGCCAGAGACATACTAATTCAACTAGATGGTACATTTCTAGGCTACAGTATTGGATTGCATTATATTGTAAGATACAAAAACCACTCACTACAGCACTAACATCTGTCAGTTGCTGTGTCCTCTCTCTGGTCTAAAACTGCCCCAGTGTACAATGCACAGCAGCTCTAGTGAACAAAAATGGTCCAAATGAACTGTATACTGCATTACAGTGCCCAGTTTCTGAGTCTAGATCAGCGGTTTACAACCTGTGGGTCAGGACTCAGGACCCCTTGAAGGGGTCACAAGATAATGCTGAGGGGTCACAAGACAACTCATAGAACAGGAAAAAAGAAAAACATTGCACAGCTTTTTTTCAATTTGAAGAAGTTTAGAGAAGAATTCAGCTTGGTTAAAATGCACACAAGTCACTGACACATTCAACCTGTGATGGGAGGTTGATCTGGAGGCCTAAGGGTTAACCTCAACATCCCTGCTTTACATACGGTTGGGGACTTTTGTTGCAAGTTTGTTGCAAGTTATTCCCCGTCTTTCTGTCCCCTTATTCCCTGATATGTTTCTACATTTGTCTAATAGAGGCAAAATATTCACAGAAAATGAAAAATAAAAATCATTTTAAGGGGTTACCAGCCAAAAAAAGTTGGGAACCACTTTCTGAACAGAACAAAATACAAACTTTTAGTTACTCCTGCTGAAACTCTATTCCCTGCTGTGCTCTCTGAAGCCTCATCAGGGGATTCTCGACTGTACCGTCAGCTGCTGAAACAAATGTGCCAACAGCGCTGTTTTCACCCCCCACAGCCGTGAGGGATGTTGTAGCTGACAGGAGTGTGTCACAGCTGCTATTACACCTGCTGTTAAACAGTTAACAAAGCCTCACCTCAGTGCACCTGTGCTGCCATGGCTTCTATCCTCTATTCAGCCGTCCTGGGACGCTTCAAAGACCTCTGGGTTTGACTGCTCATGTCAAAGCTTTGATCCTGAAGGAAACACAGCAGAACAAACAATATAAACACTGTCATTCATGCGCTTAACTACATACACACACTTCAAGTACCAGAAACAAGCAGTGGGAGGCCCTCTACCACATTATTGCTACTCTGTAATTTGGATTCCTCCCATTGGTTAATGAAAACTAAACGTCTGTGTTCCTGTCCCTCTTCTCTAATGCTTAATTAAACCAAGGGACAGAACATTCTCTACAATTAGAGGCCTTGTTTCTTAATGGGGCCTGATGCCAAACGGAGGTTGCACTGGAGCACAAGAGGCCATTAGAGCTCAGCGAAGGCAGTGCAGGTGGAGGATGAGGCCGCTGAGTCATCTGCACACAAAGCCGGCAGCAAGGCGACACCAGACTGTCTGATGATGCATAATGAAGCAGGAGGAGGAAGACTGGGCAACACACACTAATGGATTTCATCAAGATCAAACGTTCCCTATGTCCGGGATGCATTCAGCCAAATAACCAGGTAGTGAATGTCAATAATGTAGCCACTTAAAATATTGCTTGTTGCATAATGTTTAAGCTCCTGACAACTGGTCAGTCAGTCAGTCAGTTGTTACATATATATATGTACATATATACAGTATAAGTGTGTAATATATGTGTATATATATATATACACACACACACACACACACACACATACATACATGCACATACATTTATGTATACAAATTTTATGTGAATAAAATTTACACCAGACATTGATATTAACTCAATAAAACTCTACACTCTACACCTTTAATTCCTTTCACATAAAACTGTTGCTCAGTAAAGATGGGAAACGACCAAATTGTTAATTTGAGCCAGTATGAATATTACTTGTATAAAAACTAGGCTTTGGATAACATATCAATTATGTTTTATGTCATGACACTTGCTTCACAGCACCCTAGGATAATGGCACCCGGCATTACAACACAACACCACTTTATCCTGTTAAAACAATATGCATAACTTGGATTGATTTTTGAAACACTTTTGATTCTTTGGATCGGTGGACCCTTACGTACCAAAGAAATATAATGAGCTTAATCAAGGAATGGACACATACTCTGACTTAATGACGGCTTCAGAGGAAGGGAGTCACCGCTTGTTTTTTCATCATACTGATATATCTGAGGTAATTAGTCTTCACTGGTGATCATGGTTTCAGTAAAATGAAATTAACCGAGATAACGATTTGTAGCATCTCCATACTGACAAAAGTTTAAACATTTATATTTGTATGTGCGATCTAAATAGCTGACTAGCTCAAGTGGGTAGTCAGCAGACCAGGTTTATACATCCAAAGAATGAAAAATGCTTGGCAAATAGAATGGGTGCATTATTGAGACAGGCCTTTATTTGTTCAAATGTGTAGCTACACCAAACTAGTAGAAGGGACTACGCGTTTAATTGGGACTAGGCTTTTAATTGAAGTTTTACAGTAATAACTGGTGGAGAAGCTTTTGTTTGCAATGCCAGGTTTCAAGATGCTGCCTGTATGAGGAAATCGATTTCTCTGTGTTCAGATGGGATTTTGGTCCATTCCTCCACACAGACAGTCTTTAATCTAAAAGATTTTCTATCAGATTTAACTTTGGTGATTTATTGGGCCATTCCAACACCTTAATTTTCTTCCTGGCATGTTTAATACTTTTTTCCTGTGTTATTCTACCTTACTGCACATACATTTTTGATGGATTGAAATATTGTGATTTCTTTATCTGTATAGTTTTATTGAGTTAAACTTGATGTCTGGCGTAAATTTCATGTCAATAGCTGCATTGGAAATATGTTTAATGTAAAAAAAAAAAAAAAAAAGTTGAATACTTGTTACCACCACAAAGCTCAAAGCCAGTATCTGTGATGGTATAGGGGTGTGTTAGTGCTCATGGCATCATGGGTTACTTGCACATCTGTGAATGGACCATGAATGCTGAGAGGTACCTAAAGGCTTTGGAGCAACATATGCTGCCTTCCAGACTGTCTTTTTCGGGGACGTCCCTGCTTATTCCAGTAAGACAATGCCAAGCCACATTCTGCATGTGTTTCAGCAGCGTGGCCTACCAGTATTAGAGTGCAGGTACTAGACTGGCCTGCCTGCAGTTCAGACCTGTCTCTTTTTGAAAATGTGTGGAGAATAATGAAGCACAAAATGCAGTAAGGGAGACCCCCAGACTGAGCTCAGCTCCCAAACAGTTACTGAGTGTTGTTTAAAGAAAAGGTGATGTAACAGTGTCAGACATGCTGACATATTGGAACAACCATACAATTTTAAACAGGTTATTTTATCCAGACTGCGCTCACCAAATGAGGATAAATGTGGTCATGACTAAATTGTAAATAAATCTTTTTTTACTCTTTCTTATACTGTCTTTTTATTTGTATTTTCTCATTTTATCATGTTAAGCACATCAAGCTGCACTTGTTATATGAACTGTGGCATACAAATAATATATATATATATTTATGTGTACATGGAGAGTTGCTATATTTGGATGACTATACCTCTGATGTCTACTGAATCACACTCATGAGTGAGGGCCTATAAATCAGGCTGCAGCAGTAGTTAAAAAACACAGTGACAGGGAGAGTCTAATCCCTCTGGTCTTCATAGTATATACTCTCAGAGATATTATTTATGCTCTACCAACCTGTGACAACCTAGGACTGACACGCAATCAGTTGAGTTGAGTTCAGCTTTAGTTA